TTTCATTACTCTCAATGAGTTCCTCTTATTGAGCTCTTTTGTTTATTTGGAGAGAGATGGATTTGAAGCGTAGACTACTTAGTGGAAAAGGAATTATCTGGGTGGATGCAGCCTAGGAGTTGTGGTCAATGGCTCCCTATTCAGGTGGAGGCCAGTAACAAGTGGTGTCCCTCAGGACTCTTGTTTTGGGACTGGTGCTCTCTAATATGTTTGTCAATGACACAGACAATGGGATCAAGTGCACCCTCATCAAGTTTGCAGATGACACCAAGCTGAGTGGTGCAGTTGACACAAGAGGAGGAAGGGATGCTATCCAGCGAAACCTGGGCAAACTTGAGAATCGGGCCCAGGGGAACCCAGTGAGGTTCAACAAGTCCAAGTGCAAGATGCTGTGAGAAGAAGTCATTGAGAGCAGCCCTACCAAGAAGCTCTTGGGGGTCCTTGTGGATGAAAAGCTGGACATCAGCCAGCAACGTGCGCTTGCATTCCAGAAAGCCAGCCACGTCCTGGGCTGCATCAAAAGAAGTGTGTCCTGCCATTCAGTGTGCAGAGTACTGCATCCAGCTCTGGGGGCCACAACATAAAAAGCACATGAACCTGTGCAGTGAGTCCAAAGGGCCACAGATATGATCAGAGGGCTGGAACACCTTTCCTTTGAAAGACAAGCTGAAGGAGCTGGGTTGTTCAGCCTGGAGAAGAGAAGGCTTTGGGGAGACCTCATTGTGGCCTTCCAGTACCTAAAGGGTGTTTACAAAAAAGGTGAAGAGGGACTTTTTGCGAGGGCCTGTGGCAGAACATAGGGGAATGGTTCTAAAGAGAAAGGAGAGATTTAGATTAAATGTTAGGAGGAAGTTCTTTACTGTGAGATTGGTAAGGCACCAGGACAGGTTGCCCAGAGAAGTTGTGGATACCCCATCCCTGGAAGTGTTCAAGGCCAGGCCAGGCTGGATGGGGCTTTAGGCAACCTGGTCTAGTGAGTACCATCCCTGCCCATGGCAGGGGGGATGGAACTAGATGATCTTTAAGGTCTCTTACAAACCTGTCTATGATTCTATGACGTTCTGTGATTCACCATATCTGCTTTGGAGGAAGGCAGATACATTTTCCCTTCATTTTTTATGAAATTCATTTATGTGCCAGGAGTCTACAAAATTTGTTGTCACTGCTGAGATTCTATGATAATTGTCATGTTGCCTTCCTCTTTATTCTGGTTCACCATGCACATTTTAATCAGCAGGAAGAAAAAAATCCCAATAAAAACCTAAATAGCTGTTGAATGAAACGTGTTGTAAAGCCAACATATCTTTTGCTCAGCACAAAGCCAGAGAGGTGGAATTGGAAGGAAGCAAAACCAGACAGGAGAAATTTACTCCTGCATCTTTTGCTTAAGAGCTACAGCTGTAAACACTTTTTTGATGGTGTAAAGTTGGTATTTGAATGTTCTCTTCCAGTGGCCTTCCTTGATTTGGCTTCCTAAGCACCAGAAATTCTTTCTGCTCATGAACCACAGAGCATGTATTTCATTCTTGCTGTTAGAAATGTGCAACCGTATCTTACTCACGGGTTAATCATCCCTTGCTGCTTTCCTATATAAAATCGTAGAATGGTTTAGGTTAGAAGGGGCCTTAAAGAACATCTTGTTCCAATGCTGTAACCCTGTCATAGAAGGCCACCAAATTTGTCAGACATGATGCCAATCGCCTCCTTATTTTTCATATGCCTTAGCATACTTTCCAGGAGGATCTGCTCCACGATCTTTCTGGACACTGAGGTGAGACTGATTGATCTGTAATTCCCCAGGTCTTCCTTATTTCCCTTTTAAAAAATGGGAGTTATGCTTCCCTTTTTCCAGATACTGGAGACCGAATTGCCACAACTTCTCAAATATGATGGATAGTGACTTAGAGGCTTCCTCTGCCAGTTCCTTCAGAACCCACAAGATACATCGCAACAGGTTCCATGAACTTGTGCACCTTCACGTTCCTTAGATGGTCTCAAACCCGAACCTCTTGTAACAACAGTGCTCAAATTTTTTTTACTAATTTAAATATCTAAGTTTTTTCCCTTGATACTGATGCCTAAAAAAAAACTCAGGGAGAAAAAAAACTCCGAGGCAACTTAATTTTGGAGCTAAGGTGAGGGATGGTTTAATGATGCCTCTAAGGCAATGGGGTTACAAGACGCGCGCAGCTTCCTGATCCAGTGTTACAATTTTATAATACTGTCTGTCCAATCCCTGATTTTATCCACCCGTCGGCCTTTACCCCTGACCTGCCCCTTGGGAATTGGGTCTGGGGTCGTCCTGGGACCCTTTTCTTCATCATCTTGGTCTTCTTTGGAGTACAGAGTACATGCAGTCACCCAGTTCTTGGTCGTATCTTGCAGTTCACACTAGGGAGGAGATGTCCTTAAACAGAAGAAAGCCTACCTTGAAAGAAGACTAAATATGCCAAATGGAATTTAAGGGGGAATTGATATGGGGAACATGGAATGGGGTAAGAGGGTTGGGTATCTGTGTTGCTACTGTGCTAAAGGGTGAGGGAATGAATGCAGCTGCTTCTAAAAATCTACATTTCCTACATTACTTCTAAAACTTATAAAAATTAGAAAAATCAAAAAATCAAAAACCTTAAGGCAACAATAGCTTCCCAGAAATTCTAGGTATTTCTAAATCATGGTTTTGTTCTACTCATATTACTACTTTGCTGTGGCCAAATAAATGAATAAACATATAAATGAAAGTGGTAGTGAGGTAGGCGTGGTAGTGATAATACTATGCAAGTTTTCCCTTTGCCCATTCCTGCAAAGCAGTTTATTGCCATATTTGTAATTCCAGGAGAGACCAGAGGAGGTTCTCATCACTCTCTACAACTACATGAAAGGAGGTTGTAGCCAGGTGGGGGTTGGTCTCTTTTCCCAGGCAACTTCCAGCAAGACAAGAGGGCATGGTCTCAAGTTGTGCCAGGGGAGGTTTAGGTTAGATATTAGAAAGAATTTCTTTACCGAGAGGGTGGTCAGACATTGGAATGGGCTGCCCAGGGAAGCAGTGAATTGTCCGTCCCTGGAGATTTTTTAAAAGAGACTGCATGTGGCACTTAGTGCCATGGCCTAGTAACCGCAGTGGTAGTGGATCAAGGGTTGGACTTGATCTCTGAGGTCCCTTCCAACCCAGCTGATTCTATGATTCAAATAGAAGAGAACAAAGAGTACAAGTCAGTGCATTTAGCAGTTAGTGTTTGCATGTAAATGGTGACTCAAGAAGTTTGGCAACAAGAATCAGACAGGCAGGATATTTATTAAGAGAAGTAATCACAAAAAAATCCATGATTTCTTAATCACTCAGTTTAAATTTCTGTTCTGAATCTACCCTTGGTCTTTCCCCCACATTAGTCCTGAAACTGCTTTATTTGCCTCAAGTTTTAAGTTGTGGGCTGCTGCTTAAGTCATTTAAGCTGACTTAACTTTCGATTTTGTAGTAGCTATTGCTGCATGTGTGTTTTTGTTTTAATTCACACTGCTGTTTTCTTGCCAAGTGGTTATTAGGAAATAAATCTTGGCTTTCAACTGTTCCTAAATTTCCAAAGAAAACCAAAACCACTGTTCTTCAGTCTCAGAGACCACTTGAATCCTCAATCTCCTGGGTTGTCTTTCTGTCCCTTTAGAGGAAGGGATTTCCAGAGAAGTCCTTGCAATAGGGGTTACATTCATTTATCTGCAGTATGATAGTCAGAAATGTTTCCCTTCCCCATTACATAAAAGATTTATGAGTTGGCTTTGGATTTTTTAAGTGTTTGGAGTTAAAGTTGCAATCTCTTACATGAAGAGCTAAAGAGAATATGTGAAAGTCTCAATCACAGTTTTACAAAGTTATCACTCCTACCTCACTGTCACCATAAATAGATGGGGGCTGGAGGGGGTTGTGATGAGTTGACCTTGGCTGGATGCCATGTGCCCACCAAGTCACTCTATCACTCCCCTTCCTGGCTAGACAAGGGAGAGAAAATAAGATGACAAATGACTGGTGGATTGAGATAAAGCAGTTTACTAAAACAGAAGCGAAAGTTTGCATGTGTACAAGCAAGGAAAGAAAAAAGATTTATTCAGCAAGTGATGTTCAGCCACTTCCCGGGAAGCAGGGCTTCAGCACCTGTAGTGGTGCTCCAGAAGGCAAACCTCGTAAATAACAAATGCCCCCCCCTCCTCCTTCCTTTGGCTTTTATACCTGAGCTGATGCCATATGGTATGGAATATCGTTTTGGCTAATTTGGGTCAGCTGGCCTGGTTGTGTCCCCTCCCAGGATCTTGCCCACCTCCACACCCTTCATGGGCAGGGGAAATGTCAAAAGACAGCACTGATGCTGTGCCAGCTCTGCTCAGCAGTAGCCAAAACAATGGTGTGCTACAGCATCTTTCTAGCTACCAATGCAGAGCACAGCACTGTGAGGGCTGCTATGGGAAAATGAACTCCATCTCAGCCAGACCCAATAGAGGGGTGTATTGCAGGGAAGCATGACATGTTTGCTTTGCTCTCAACCTCTTCCCTCATGGATTCAGTACAGCAGTCTTATTCCAGTCAAATACATAAGGCTAAGTGCTGTTTCCAGTCAACTGAACAGTTTGAAGTATATCCCACCATTTTTTCAGGTGTTTGTTCTGAATACCAAAATTTTCTCAGAGTAGTTCTGCAGAAAGATGTTTTTAGCACAGATAAAACTGTTATATATTGGTTTACTGTGAAACAGGCTGGCTTAGCTAAAGCTTTCCCAAAGTATTTAGTCCAGGGCAGGTGGCTGGTATGGAAATGTTTGCCTAAACTGGCCAGGTTACAAGCAGCTAAGAAACACGTATTTTAAGAGGGGAAGTACCCAACAGCTGAAAGTTACATTACCAGCTGTGCTTTTAATGACTGGCTGTGAAAAAAAGCTAAAAATGGAGTAGTGACGGTCAAAAACCGAACAGCCCAATTCCATATAAGACAAATATTTTATTACCAAAGGAGTTATAATATCAAAGTAAGAAACTGCAAAAGAGTTATAAACAACTATAAAAATACTTATATTTATCCAAAATTAAATATGAACACTTTATTAGTTAAATGCCAATATATTATTCTCTGACAATATTCACACATTTTAATTCATGGTTGTCTAACATCTTAAAACACGTTATATAAAATAATTGCATATAACAAATCACAATCCGAAGCTAAGAAATTCTAGCTCCTCCTGCAGCTAACTATGGGTTAACCAAATTCATAGGACTAGTGCTGCTAGTCAGCTGAACAAACTTACATTCAAGCCTCTCCTCTTTTGCCTTCCATAGGACTTGCTGTCTTGCCTCTACTTCAGAGAGCAGAAGCATGCTACATCTCTCAGAAATCAGTACCCTTTCTAAGTTTTTCAAAAAGTTGACTTCTTCCCTGCTCTTTCCAAACCCAAATAAGTTAGCAGACCATTTGACCTACACTGAAAACACTTCTATGTCAGCAGAACATACTCAAGATTAGCTGCTGCTTTGATAGATTGTTACTTTTGGATCTTGATGAGTTTTACATAGGTATAAGGAAACCAGCTACTTTTCCATACTGTTTTCTTCACCTGCAGCTTCTAAGATGATTTTATAAATTGCAGTAGACATGTAAATAGATTGCTTTCATGTGATGGTATTATAAAGTTACTTGAAAAATCAGAATATTCAAAGTAGTTTCCAGAGCACAAAGGTGGGACACAGCCTTCTGTAGAGTTCTTTGTTTCACATGCTGGTCTTTTATTTCCACTTCTTGGACTTCAGCAGCTTGTTCAGTCGTTTCTGCTTATTCCATCTCCAGGAACAAGGTACAGTAGCTTTCCATCAGAATTCTGGCATAAAGTGTTTATATAAGCGAGCAAGGTTACTTGAAGAATGCATATAAAATGCAAAGGTACCAAGTAATGCCACTTCAAAAGAAAAGAATAGGATTCACCTGGAATCACCTGGAAATTATTTTTTCAAATTTATTCCAGCAGGATCTAAGGCTAGATATATTTTCTTTCAGTTCACAAACTTCTTGGTTACATTTCTTTCTGGACTGTTCACCTGTCTCTGTATCTTCTTTACCAAATACATTTACATGTGGACAAATCTGAAAAAGAACAGATTGTATTGTTAATTGAGGACTGCTTATTCTATTCCTACGGGCATCTTTTAAAACAAATCCATTCCATTACATTTCAATAAATAATGCCGGTACCATGCATGGTAAGCCAGAAAGCTGGGCTGCTCACAAAGCAAACCATGGCAGTACAGCCTGCATCACCCTGATGTTTTCACTCTGAAGAGAGCCCTGCTGCCACCCCTGCCCATGGGACTGGGAGAACATGGCTTTAACACACAGCAAACTAGGACAGCTGAAACCAGTGTGTCCAACTGAGATCATGTATGTCCTCTATCAGTGATTTAAAATTTATCCTCCGTTATCTGAAGGACTGGGAAAATAAAGCCAATTAAATTGTGAGCCAAACTTTGACTGCATGTGTTGAGACTGGTGTAACAAGACAGACTTGTTCTAGGGGCTGGTGCTGTGGCCTAGTATTCAGGATCTTAACCAAAAAAAACTACTGTGGTTCCTTTTTCATATTTAATGGCTACTCATAATTTTATACTAAATTATTTTAATTGGTCTTCAAAATAAAAACAGGCATCCATGAGGTTAGGTAGAAGTTGCAAGGGTGACACTCTGACTTTATGACTTTGACTGGGATACCTTTTAAAGTAAGGCAAACAGTGGATTCAGCACAGGTGACTAAGCAGATCATCCAACATTACTTTGAAGATCTGGTCCCAGATTATAAGGGTCTCTCCATTTCAATGAGTAAAAGAATGAGTTAAATGCAGCCTTCAATCCAACTATTTAAGCATTATATCCTATGGTGCCTATGTGGAAACTTTTTGATGTTGGTTAATATTTTTGTGTTCAATAGGCAACATTGAGCCACACTTAAAAGAACAGTCTTCCTTTACTAAGGTAGCCTGTAGATAATTGTGCTACGTTTGAGTGACACATTAAAAAGAAGATTCTGCCAATGGCTAAAAATCTAATTATTATCATGCCTAACTGTTCTTATTGAATTTGAGATACTGTAGTTAAAATAAAGACCAAAGAGATTATGGAAAAGAGACAAACTCCCCCCTAACTGTTAAAACAAACCAGATTAAACATTACTCTTAGGGTAGAACCCCAATGAGAAGTAACAACTATGATTTTATACACTGGAGAAGCTAAACACCTTCTTTGCACAAGTCTGGCCTTTGTCTTTTACTGGAGAATTAACTCAGGTATTTCAGTACTGAACCACAGTAGATATCTTCACCATAGAATTCCAGAGGATTGTTTTACTTAGTCTTTGCACTGGGCTTAATGTCTATGATAAGACATGTGCTATACAGAGCAAAATTCCTCTTGCATATAACGTGTATGGCAGTTGTACCTTTGAGAGGTAGATGTGAGAGTCTGTGTTGAATAGCTCTAAGCAATAAGTCAAATAGGTAAAATAAACTGTAGAACATCATTACCACTTACTTTTTCTTTTCTGTGTCCTTCACATTTGCACTTCAGAACCTGTAATGTCCCACATGAGACGAATGCTGCTTTCCATCTAAAGGCTTTGCTGATTTTTTGCTTATGAAAGAATCTGAGCATGTTGCATGCCATGCTCTGTAGTGATTCTATTTCCTGTAAAGGGAGAAAGAAGAATATGTCCTGAAAGGTCTGCACCATTGATTCTTTGCAATGTTGGTTTGTCTTAAAAAAAAAAAAACCTCCATCAATTTCCATTAGTTTCTTTAGCTTTCATAGTGCTAATCTTTTCCAATAAAACACATAAGTACTCTAATGTACCTGCCATGTCTTCAAAATATTTAAAGAAGCAATTTGTAGTAGTAATAATAATAGCATAAGGATGTTAGGGAGAAATCACAACCATAATGTAATCAATTGAGGCTGTTAGGAAAACAGGAAGTGATTTTTGGAGTCAGTCCTATCAAGTCATGATAAAATCTGCAGCAACAGCTGACAGTTGTGCTTTCTACCATTTGAGATGTGCCCAAACTATTATTTAAAGCTTTCAGATCTGAAGTGGAAAGCTTAGCAAATAAAAGTTTCTGTAGAAAAATAAAAACAGAGGTTGGGAAATTTTAATGTTTAATTCCATTTCCATTGTACTATTTGTACAGAAAAATCTTTATAGTAGAAAAAAAAAAAATCCACATTTCTTGGATATGGAATTGCTTAATATTTTAATTTTAAAAATATCAGTTTTCTTCACAAATTCTGTGATTCCAGAGTCATAAAAAAGAACAACCTGAAATATTATGATTTGACTATTAAAAGGCTATATTACTCTCTATCACAATATTTTTTTCAGGGACTGGAGTGTACAGAGAACTCATTTGATTTTATACTCTCTAAATTCTGAGAAGTTAAATTTTACCTGAGTATCATTGCAGAAAAACACTTTGATATTTTCGAGGTTTTTGTTCTTGCAGCACCTGTCACGATTCTGAGCAGATATATTTACCTGTAAAATATCGTATATGTTTAGACATGGAAGTACTTTTAATCAAGTGAGGAAGTTTTCTGCCTAACAGCCAGTGATGTCAACAGTAAATCGTTCTGTAGCATCTCCTCAGTCAGGGTAGCAGTGTTAGTGTACAATTCTGAGCTCTTCCTCAGCAAGCAGGAAAATAAACCCCCAATCCAGCTACACTGTCTAAAGGTATTCACAGAATCACACAGAATCACAAAATGGCCAAGGCTGGAAGGAGCCCATCTGGTCCCATGCCGCTGATGAGACAGGGCCCCTAGAGCCGGTTGCCTAGGACCACGTCCAGATGGGGTTTGAATATCTCCAAGGATGTAGACTCCCTTGGGAACTTGTGCCAGTGCTCACTCACCCTCATAATGAAAAGTATTTTCTGATGTTCAGAGGGAACCACTTGTGTTTCTGTTTTTGCCCACTGCCCCTTGTCCTATTCCTGGGCACCACTGAGAAGAACCTGTCTCTGTACCCTTTGCCCCCTCTCTTCAGGTATTTATACACATTAATGAGATCACCCTAAGCCTTCTCTTCTCCAGGCTGAACAGTCCCAGCTCTCAGCCTTTCTTTATTAGACAGATGCTCCAGTCTGTTCATTGTCTTCACAGCTTTTTGCTGGACATTCTCCAGCAGCTCCTTATTTCTCTTGTATGGGGAAGCCCAGAACTGGACATAAATCTGTTAAATTTAAATCTTCATATTCTATCAAATTACTTTGCTCTTCGGCAATTTTGAAACATACAGCAATGTTTAAATCTTAAATCTCTTGAATTTTAACATTGAATACATTAAATACAATGTTTGTCAATGTTCATCTCCATAATACATGACCCAGGCTCTAAACAGCTACAGCACTCACTTTGCTATGTACTAACAGAATATGGCTTAAGCAATATCACTTGCTCCTTTTGTGTGACTACAATCTTTATCAATGGTTTAATCTCTGCTGTTTTTTTCTTTTACTTTCACACTTGTCATCAAGATGTCAATGGAACCCGACTCAACAAAAGCTTCATTTTCTTCTTCAACCTGTATCCATATAACCCAATGCAACCAGAAAGGCTTTGAAAAAGGCAGCTCATGACAATACTGTGTTAGATCTCCTCACTTAGGCGTCTATATGAACACATTAGACAACTTAATTCCTAAAGTTTTTATGTATATTTTCATGAAACAGTGTCTATATTTTAGAAGGTCACTCAAGATAAATAGAATTTCATCCAGGAAGTGTTTTCAAAACCAAGACTTTACGGAGTCAAATATTGACTGGAAAACCAAAAAAAACCCAATAAAATCAAACAAAAAAAGCCAAACCAACAACATTTGGAAGCTAATCTATTTTGGAAGCATGTCTTTGCTTGCACCACAACAGAGTGAAGTTTTGCTGCAGTCACACAGCACCAAAAGTTATAAAAAAATAATTAATTGCACAAATAAATAAATAACCAAATAAGTAATCAGCCTGAAACCTATATATCTACAGCTTCAGCTGCTAACTGCTATGGGATTTACCCATTCCCACTGGCTTCCTCAGATCACCTTTAGTATAACACACAGTAACCACTTATGAAGACAGTTTATTGGCTGTGACTAAACCAACCTAAGGGAAATCTGGACCTCAGAAAAGCCATTAGTGAAAATTAAATTACCTTACAGAGATCTACTATGTAACCCACTAGTAATCTCCATAACTGCTTCAAACATCAGGATGAGGGACTGAAAGCTATTGACTTTGGCTCTGCAATTGTAAGGAAGTGCCTAGTGGGCAGTTGCTATCACCCACACAGCACTGACTTTACAAATAAGACAAATGAATCTCTCTTAAACTGGGAAAAATAAAGATAGAAAAATGAAGAAACTTGCGCAGTAGTTACTGGTACATGCCTGTTCTAGGAAGTAAAAGCTTCAGAATTCAGTACATTCCCATTAGTTTCACAAACATTAATTCATTATTTATTTATTTATTTTCATAACTTCATTTTCATACAGTCTCCTAAAAAACTCCATGTCTTAAAAAAAGCCTCCATAATATTTATTAAAAAATTACAATTAAAAAAAAAAAAGGAAAAGAAAAGATAAGTACTTTCAAAATGTACCTGGAAGAATGGCATTGTTCCATTCAAATCCTTGATGACATCATAAGGCACCAACTGCATCAAGCTCTATCCTACAATTGGGCAGTGGCAAACCACTGCTACCTCCAGCCCAGGAAATTCCTCCAGCCTCCCTGACCCTGCAGTTTGAGTGGAGCTGGGATGCACCTCATGCCTCTCCACCACAGGAAGACAGCAAGATCTGCTTCCCAAAGGCTCTTATTTCTGTCATGTTATTTTCTCTGATAGGTCAGCTATCCTGTAACTGCTCACCAAGAGGGTTTATTTTTGTTCTGTAGGAGATACTCGTCTTTGTCAGCAATAAGACAACAAACTGAAGGGAAGAGTTGTGTATTCTAATATGACCATGAATATTTTCTCCAACTTTGGTGCCTTGTTCAGGGTAAGGTCACTTATCTACAGAGAAGTACCTTTCTCTCTTCATAATCTCAACAAACACAACATGATCAGAATGTTAAATGATCATTCTGTGACCCTAGAAGTATTTTGTTTCCAGATGAGGGCTGATGTGTCTTGGTAGAGGAAGGTTGGAAGCCACTGGCATAGTGCTCTGAAGAATAGTGGTGGACCATAAGAGTGAAGAAATACAGTGGCTTCTGATTTCACCTTTGGAAAAGCACTGTATACAATTTTGGATTTTGTGCAAACACATCTTGGTTTAAGACTGAAACAGAATTCTCACTGAGTGACAACCTGTCAGAAAAAATCCCATTTTCATGGAAATGGCTCTGCTAATCCAATTATGGTGTTTTCTCCCATGAAAATCTTGACAGATGAATATAATTGTTAATAAATAATTCATGAAGAACAGTTGGAAGGTAGGTTTTGGGCACAGATTGGTAAACTGTTATGATACTGTTTTGCCAATTTAGAAAAGTTCATTCTTTATTGGCTAAATAAGATTATTAATAGGTAAAATAAAAAGGAACTTTTATTTTCATATGAATTTTGTGCCTCTATGCATTTGTTTTCAATGGACAACATAAAACTTTAGTCAAGAAGTCTACAATTAGTAGAACAAATTACAAGTTGTGTAATGTTTTCTTCTTTTGATAAAAACATACAAACAGAAGTAATCATGAAATTACTTTAGAAAAGAGTACCTTTTAATTCAATATATCATCCTATTTATGGCCAAATGGTACATGTGTCTCCCTACATGATGCACAGGCACAAATACCTGTATCACAGTATTCGTACATGCAAATAGGCAGCATCCACAGATTTCAGAGATTTTAGAGACTAAATTGTCACACCCCCTCAAATAAAGCCACTATTCCAGGATAACATGTGGTTTTAAATTGGTCTTTTCTTGTGTGTTAATGTTAGAGCTTTTATTAATATTTTCTATCATCTAAAAATAATCAACATTTTTTTGAAAGCCCAAGAGCTATTACCTACCAGCTCATTGATGTCGTGAATTAGTATGTTCTCATACTTCACATGGATTTCAGTTGTTTTATTTTCCATTGCGCAACTAGATGAATTCACTGGAGACAGAACAAGGAGCAGTGGCAGAACTGGAAGAGTAGATCTAAAAAAGGCTGGATTACAAGAAGAACAGTTAAATATACATTAAATGCCCCAGAGTGTATGTTTTATTTACAAATACATTCTGTAATCTCTCGAAATAGTTTAAAAGGGATATTCATACCAACAAATGACTAATCCTTCCTTGAGAGAAGGATTCTGCTCCAGATTAAGACACTGTTTGGGTGTCCAAACTCCCTCATACTCCAAGATGATTCAGCCAGCATTAGTAAGAGGATAAAACTACTGAGCTGACCAGCAACTTGGTGACTGCTTGAGCTGAATTCATCTCCAGGCTTCACTGCAAGCATTGGCAAGGTCTCTCCATTGACCATAACCGGCCCATAACCAACCCATAACCACCTCAGGCATATGTAGACAAGTAAGTGTCTTAGTCGAATAAGTTTAGACGTCCAAGTGTCTTAACCTGCAGCTGAATCTCATCCTGACTGTCTATTTTTCATTTGATAAATTCTACAAATCCCCATGAACACATCTTTACATCAAAGGCGCGTTTAAAAACATTTTCAGGCTGACCAAATGTACGAAGCCATACTAATGGCAATAACATGAGAGCACAACTTTCTCTTTTTGCAATGTTTTGGAACAAATCTCGCTGCCCCCCTCTTTGTTTCTCCCTTCAGTGTACTGTCTGGCTTTGCTCAGACCCCTGGTCTTCTGTCTTTGGATGACATCCAGGAAAACATGAGTTCTGTGAGGGTAGGCTGAGAGAAAAGACCAAAATATCAAAAGACCCCAAAGCGACTGACAGGGTAACAGAAGGTTGCAGGTGACTGACCTGGTACATGGAATGAAGGACTAGGTACATCAGGAAGCTCATAACTGGACTCTGGTCTACAGCTCAACTAGCTAGGATGACGCTTAAATGGAAGGTTTTGAAAAAAGGCAAAGCTAGAAATTTCTGATGGGGGACTAGTGAAGATCACAGCAGATTGCTGGACTAGTACAAGCTGTTTCTGCCCATCTCTGCTACTGAGTAAGAAGGACAACTGCATAAGGAGTATCTATGGGGTAGGAGCCAGGAAAGGAAGAAGGGATGCCCTGACCCTAGCTGCTACTTTTCTTCCTCTATGGCGAGGATGGGCTGTTGGGTACAGCCAGCCCTGCACTCAAGAGATGGAAACCTCTGGATCTGGGCGTCACTAGCAATCACAGCCTCAGAGAGAAATCTTCAACAACTAAGAAGAAAGCAATGAAACTTGAGCATAATTTTTGCTGACCCACCTAACTTCTGTGACGCAAGAACCCCAAGACACACCACATGCTCCCAGCCATTAAAACAAACAGTCTGTTACAGCCCATCCCAGCCAACTCCAAACACAGAGTTTGAGAGAAGAAAGCATACCACTTTTCCTGACTACGAAAACCTTGTTTTTCTGATAGATTGCTTGTGAACACGCTGTGATGTACACCTCCGTCCTAGAAAAAGGACTGGAAAAGTTTTACATGTACAAGCTAAATCACAGAATTCTTCTTGTGGCAAGCTGCCAAATTTTAATGGGAAATTTGATGGATTGAAAACCAAATTTTCTGACCTTTTCAATATACTGATCAATGGAGGTCTATTAGTTTCTCAAAAAAAAAATCTAACCTGAAAAGCTAAGTGGATCTTAAATGGATCCTACATGTATAAATATAAAAACCATGTAAGGCGACTCTATTATGATCTTCAAGATCCAAGTGGACACACCTGACTTCCACTTTGTAAATCTCTATGCTAACTATAACTGTGTTGAGCAAATTATCCATTTGAAGGACTAAGACTTAACATTTTAAGAGATGTTTAAAAACATGCAAGAACTCAATTACAGGACATTTTTCCAATCTCCATTGCACCTCTTGATTCCAGTGCAAAAAAAAAGAACTGCAATGCTAGTTTGCATTGTAGCAGTAATACAAGCAACTTGGATATGCTGCTTCACAAACATGCTTCAAGAGACAAAAATAACAATCTTCTAATTTAAAACCAATCTAACTGACTCCATCACTTAAAATTTGGTTTGTTCAGCAACAAGTGGAGACAACAGGTGAAAACCGCAAGGTCACTTTTATTTCTTTATTTTTACTTTCTCTGTATTGTACAGATTGTGGGCCTTTTTTAAAATGAGGAAATTACAGAATCAAGGCAGATAGTGAGTTGCACACTTGTGAAGTCCCTTAAGCCTTTGCAGGACCAGGATCGAATCTGTTCAGACATTTCTGAATGAGTCCTCTGGAAGAACCATTAGACAAGTGTCATAAAAAGTTCTGGGAGCTTTACACTGAAAATCGAAAAGGATTTTCTTAAAGTTAGGTAACTTCAAAAGAAGAAGAATTTATAGCACTCCATATGACCAGCACTTCAAAAGAAAGAGAATCTGTATTACTGGTAATACCCCATCTTTTCAGTAAACTCCCAGAAACTCCTAAGTCATATCTGGAAAGCCCCAAAAATTCTCCCAGAAAAGACTTAGTATTCCAGTATTTCCAAATAATTGGAAAAACCCTCTTGGATTTTTAATTTTAAAAAACCCT